GAACCAACCTGCTGTCATTCCCGTCACCGACTTCGCGCTGGCGACGCTAGAGTGGCAGCTTGTAACAACCCATCCTCCGCTGTCTGCTGCGCTGGGGGGGTGGAGTGACGTTTAGCCCCCTCACCCGGTAGCGGACGTTGACTGTGGCGCCACACGCGGAGTCTCGCAAGAGCTTTTGCGCGCGTGCGTGGGGAGCGGGCCAGATACTGGTCCACTCCAAGGACTGCTTAGTGATCGAGGCCATGTCTTCCTGTCCAAAGTCGTTGAAGCCATTCTCAAAGAGTGCAAGATTGTTCAGCGAAAAACTGCTGCTTAGAACCTGCAGACGACTGGCCTCACCGAACGCTTGAACTGTATGGTTGGCGACATTCTCTCCAGGTACGGCACTACCGATCACAAAAATTGGGATGCCATTCTGCCGTTCATCGCCTACATCTATCATACCGCCCCTTTGAACACTACTGGTTTTTCACCTTCCTTCTTTTTATATGGAAGGCACCCGTCGCACACCATCAACACGATACTTCCATACAAGCTGAATCTATCCGAGTGTGCGCCTATTTCGGACACAGCCACGCTTATCGAAGAGAGTCGAGAGCTTGCAAAGAGTTTTACTACACATTATGAAGAGAGCCAGAAGAGCATTCCCGCTGATGCCAGAACTTCTGCACTGCCTACGTTCTTTCCTTAGATCTTCGTCTGGCTCTTGATCCCTACCATGGCAGCCAGCCTCTCTTCAAACCTACTGCCGAAATACGAAATCCCCTACCGTGTCATCGAATGCACTTTCCCTGTAAACTACTTGATCGAACCTATCGAACCATCTTACGACATGCGCTGTCGAGGGCACAACATTGTCAACAAGGAGCCCCTCAAGGCTTACTATGACTTGCTCATAGTAACCTGCTGTTAGGCCACCAGGCGGCTCCCTTTTTGTACCTGGAGTAATTGTAATGAAGCCTTGTGACTATACACTGGGTTGTCCTCTCCATCGCCTTCTAGTGGGCCGCCCTCTTCGAAGAAGAGCAGCTCGTGCAGAGAGTTAGTCCCCGCCTTGACTATTGCTGTCACGGATCACCGAGTGCCCGCCAATAAACGTCTTGACAAGTGTTACAATAAATACAGTAGTGGGAATAATCTTTATAACAAACTTTTTTCTTGTAAGACGCACCTTTGTTATAAAGAGGTGTCAGTTACTATTATTACTAGTTAAAGTAATAGAGGAGTTCTACAGAGATTTGTACAGTAGACGAGACAACCAGGATGATATCGTAAGATGCAGTAATAGCCCGAAAGAGGAGAATATTCTGATATCCAACCAGTAACGACAGGGGAAGCGAAGAAAGCCCTAGAGCAAATGCAAAGAGGCAACACCGCTGGTAAAGATAAGGTAACATCAGGCCTTTTGAAGGATGGTGGAGAGATTGCATGAAAAAACTGGCCACCCTGTATATAAAGAGTCTTTGACGGGGATGGTACTAGAATCTTGGAAGAATGCCAACATAATCCATAGGAAAGAGAATGTCAAGAACTTGAAAACTTACAGGCTGATCAGCTTACTGCCCATTGACTACAAGCTATCCACAAAATTAATAGCTAATAGAATTAAGAGGACACTAAAGTTCAATCAACCAATGGACCAAGCAGGATTTTGTGCAGGCTCCTCAACCATAAACCATATTCAAGCTATCAATCAGGTGATAGAGAAATACATGAAATACAACCAACCCCTATACATAGACTTCATAAATTACTAGAAGACATTTGATTCAGTTAAGATATAAGAGTCATGCAGGCGTTGACGCGCGCGCACGCTGGGCACATCGACGCAACGTTGGCAAAACGCGAGCGATCTATAGTCTGACACCAGGCGCGACCAGCGTCTGCCGGCATGGCCCGATGGCAACCGGCGCGAAATGCGATATTCTGCATTTTGCGCCAATGTGTTACCCAGACAACACAGCATTTTCCACTTTCGTGATGGAGAGACGCCAGATGTGCTGAAACGCGCATGCGTCAAAACAACGCAGCACGGCGCGCACCTGCGAGTATATGGCAGGACAAGCGCCTGGCATGGCAACGCCGGTGTGACGTGACGAAATGAACGCCGGCGAGCACGCACACCGTGCCACGTCGAAATGTATTGGCACCTTGACTGCGCCATGTAGTCATGTTCTCACATGACACGCATGTCATGATTATCATTTTGCACCAGTCACATACCTTTGTCATCCTTTAGCGTCACGCAATACCAAATTTGGCATATGTGAAGCTAGTGAAACGGCCGCGAGCGCATCATGAGCGTGGCATGTAGCCATGTTGTTACATGACACGCATGTCATGATTTTCATGGTAGGGTCTGCCGCTTGTGTTCGTCATGCAATTATGTCATACCATACCAGTTTTGCAACATGCCATGTGAATGAAACCACCGCAAAAGCTGCAAGACCATGAAATGTAAATCATGACATTCATGACATACATGTAATGATTTTCATGTCATGACTTGTCAAATATGTTCTTCATACAGCCATGTTATGCCATACCAAGTTTGGTATCGATACCATTATTGAAATGGCAAGGAGAGCTAAAAGTCATATGCGACTAGATAGATAGATAGGCTCAAAGTCGTCGAAGTTTGCTAAGAAATGCTTCGTATTTAATATGCATAAAACTAAAGTAACATGCAACAGTCTTGGCAGTGAACAGCACATTGAGATAGGTGGCAAGACACTAGAGGTTGTAAAGAAATGTGTCTGCTTAGGACAGTTAGTAACCATGAAGCCAAACCACAAGAGTGAAATAACTAGAAAAATAAAGATGGGGAGGAGCGCATTCAACAAGCATTCTCAAGTCATGAATAGTTGTCTACCACTGTCCGCAAGAGAAAGGTATATAACAGCTGCATTTTATTGGTACTTACCCATGATGGATTAAAAATAGCATCAAATCATTCTAGACACGTTGTCTGTTAGACATTAGGTTGTTGTGTTGTTTGCACTTAAGCAACAGCAGCTTATCAAATAGGCTGTCATTAATAACCAACCAACCACTATACATAGCCTTCATAGATTACGAGAAGGCGTTTGATTCAGTAGAAATATCAGCCGTCATGCAGGCACTGCGGAATCAGGGCGTCGATGAAGTATATATAAACATTCTGGAAGAAATCTACAGGGGATCAACTGCTACCATAGTGCTTCATAAAGAAAGCAACAGAATACCAATCAAGAAGGGTGTAAGGCAGGGGGACACAATCTCCCCATCTATTTACCGCGTGCTTACAGGAGGTTTTCAAAAGCCTAGAATGGGAACAGTTAGGGATAAGAGTTAATGGAGAGTACCTTAGTAATCTGCGCTTCGCCGATGACATTGCAATGCTGAGTAACTCAGGGGACGAATTGCAACTCATGATTACGGAGTTAGACAAGGAGAACAGAAAGGTAGGTCTTCAAATGAATCTGCAGAAAACGAAAGTAATGCACAACAACCTCGGAAAAGAGCAGCACTTCGAGATAGGTAATTGTGCACTTCAAATTGTAAAAGACTATGTCTACTTAGGGCAGGTAATAACCGCGGAGCCGAACCACGAGATTGAAGTAACTAGAAGAATAAGAATGGGGTGGAGCACATTTGGCAAGCACTCTCAAATTATGACAGGTGGATTGCCACTATCCCTTAAGAGGAAGGTATATAACAGCTGTATCTTGCCGGTACTTAGCTACGGAGCAGAAACCTGGAGACTTACAAAAAGGGTTCAGCTTAAATTGAGGACGACGCAGCGAGCAAGGGAAAGAAAAATGGTAGGTGTAACCTTAAGAGACAAGAAGAGAGCAGAGTGGATTAGGGAACAAATGGGGGTTAAGGATATCATAGCTGAAATCAAGAAGAAGAAATGGACATGGGCCGGGCATGTAGCACGTAGACAGGATAACCGCTGGTCATTAAGGGTAACTAACTGGATTCCCAGAGAAGGGAAGCGGGTTAGGGGGAGACAGAAGGTTAGGTGGGCAGATGAGATAAAGAAGTTTGCGGGTATAAATTGGCAGCAGCAAGCACAGGACCGGGTTAACTGGCGGAACATGGGAGAGACCTTTGTCCTGCAGTGGACGTAGTCAGGCTGCTGCTGCTGCTGATGATGATGATGAATGAGCACCAATTTAGCCTCAAGGCAACACTTCAGCCCTTTAGTAATAGCTTTTCACTCGAAAAAAATCAGTGGTGCAATAGCTGCCTTGTGAGACAATTACTTTCATAGGCTGAAGATGACAATACTCCTGCAATTTTGCTGTCAGCAATATCGGGCGGCTTTACAAATCGGCCATTCTGTGCATGTGGGAAAGAATCTGCCTTTCCCCTCCCCCCAGAAAACAGATCATTTCTGACAACAAAAGTAAAGAGATACCCACGTCCTGCACAGTATCATGTTATAATCAATACATCGCAAAAATTTTTTACTATAGAGATACATTTTTCAAATGAATCTAGATACAGGAATAGCAATACCCAAAAGTATCTCTTAGATACTATTGTGATGGCCTTGTATCACGATGCTGCCCAGCCCTGTTACCAACTAGTATGCTCTTTGTTACTTTAGATGAAAGAAGCCATGCTGACACTGCCTGAAAATGGCACTCCAGAGATGGACGCTATCTACAATAAGCTTATGTTACATTTGACAACTCCCAAATTGTCAAACTCATGTGAACCTGAATGACATAGCTAAAAATATCCTGAACTTATTTGAAGTATTATAACTATCAGGCTGGATTCGAATTATGAACCAAGCTAAAAAGTGAACTTGAACTCAAAAAGTTTTCATTCAGGACTTTCCATGGCTTCAAATGTTTAAACTGATTCAGCAGCTTAAATAGCCTTTTTTGAAGCCAAGATTGTGAACTACTCATGAGAGTTGTGCGATAAAGTAAATTTTTTGTGAAAATCTGTTCTTTTGTTTTGATTACAGCACATGTGCAGTGAGATGTGCACAAAATCCTTACTTCTTCAAGCTGCCACCACTGTCGCTGCTCTGTGAAGTCTGATGGTACGGGTGCCAGGCGGCAATTCCCAACTGCTGTTTCCACAGCTGGGCCACCTGTAAGTGAAGGTTCTTCCTAGTTTTTATTCTTTTTTTTTTCTATTTTTATTCTAAGTTACACTTAGGCAAGAGAGGACACAAGGCATTACCACTGGTGGGGTCCTCCCCCCTGAAACAGAAGCTCACACACAAACACTGGCAACATAAATGCAAGTGATGAACTGTGTTTATTATGGAAGTTATACACATGTGTTTATAGCATTTTCAGCAATCTTGCTGAAGATAGACCAAACAAAGATAAGACAATGATTCATAACTCATGACTGAATCACACATGAGTCAACCATTGATTAACTTACATATGGAAGCATAAGTAAAAATGCATGTGAAATGTTCAATACTTATAGAAGATTTTAAAATAACATTTTGCAGGAAAACAAAATTGCAAGCTTGCTATTACAAACATCATTAGGCCCAAATAAAAAACAATATACACTGTACTTGACAGAACAGAGACACATTCTTGAGCGATATTGCCATAGGTGCAATAAAAGCTATAAAAGAAGTACCGTATTCGGCCGACCCCAATTCTAAACTGACCCCCCAAAATTCAGAAGCCCGAAAAAGAAAAAAAAACATCTTGCCTCGAATGTAGGCCAAACGAAATTGCAAAGACAGCGTTCACAAAGAGAGAACATTTAGTGAACATAAAGATGAAACAAAAGATTTGGTTCATGATGCAAATAACTCAAGAAACCTACAGCCGCAAATCTTGTTGCAAATCTTGTTGGACTGCTTTTAGTCGCATCATGAAGATGGCGCGTGCTTGCCGATGCCACGCTCATTCAGAGTTGTCGTCTCTGCTTCTCTCGTCGGTGACTTCTCTATCACTGACTTCAAACAGTACGCAATCCTCGATGCCATCAAACGCATTGGATGTTCTGGCACTTCTTAATAGAGTGCACAAGTTCCAGAGTTTTCATCCCAGGCTGCAGTCCCTCCTGCTACGCTCCACTCCAAAGTCCCATCAGGCTTGAATGTTGGACGACTCCACCGCTAGGGCAACGTTCTTTTTATAAGCGGCACTATAATGAAACCGCCTGCTTGGCGCCATTGAGCTATGCCGCATACAGGCCACTCAAGGCGCGACTCGAAATGACGAACGCTCACGTCAACATTCGCCGCAATGATTAAAATGGCAGCCTCACGTGTGTACTTAAGCCAGCTGTTGACTTCGCTACTAATGGCTATAATGCCGTCTAGGCAGTGCTAGTTGTGCACCGCTTCCCTCAATGAAAAATGGCACTTTTTTTTTAATCTTCAAATCTAAGCCCGCTCTAGAGTTTGATGCATAACAATTTCAATAAAAGCTATCGGCCTATATTCGAATAAATACTAATTGACTTATTCCCAGTTTTAGTTTTTTAAGTTAGCATATTTTTTCCCCTATACATTCGTTTTTGTGCAGGAGGGTCGTAATCTGATAGTGCAGGGTTTGTGAACCACAGTTAGCCCTGATCCAGCTATTCCTATTGCCAAGACGTCGAAATGTATATAGTAGGAATTTTTTCGGTTTTTGTAAGGTGAATGAAAAAGCATAGTCATTGCATGTGAAGGCATGTAAACTAAGCTATGAAGGAAGATGGCATTGTCTACATGAACTTGGCAGCCTTCTGTGACGCGGGCAGCTCGAGTTGTGGCCTGCAAATTCAATGACCCTCGTGTGAGCCTACTTGCAGGTGACGCAGCAACTGCGTAAGGCAAGTATGAATGTACTTGATGCTCCCCCCTTCTAAAGAAAAGTATTGAAGGCAATCCACCAGTGCCACATGAATGGTCGAACTTCCACGCTGGGTCAAGTAGCCAGAGACAACATTAGGACTAACGGGCCTACAAGTCACATCAGTGTTGCAACGACCTGCATGTATGGGCAACAGCTTATTCAATAGGTTTAGGAAAGAACCCAGGTGTGGAAAGCATCATAGGCCACAACAAATGACCTGATGACATTAGCATCAGATTATACTACATCGATAAATTGAGACCAAACACATCATTACTTTCAGAGTAGCCACACCCTGAGTGAAACATTACAGTTGTCAGGGTTATAGTTTGTGGCTAGTTTAAGTTTGTTTGCAATGAGTAATATTTTTGCATATTTAAATTTTTTTTAGTGCTGTACATTTTCTTGTGATAAATGTGCTTCACTGTTCCACAAATGTTGACGAAGTACATCATGCGAAACCATGCAAATACCTGACAGCCTGCGCCGTCTTTCATCATCCATTTGTGTGTTTTTTTTTTTGTGAATTGCAAATTTTTATTGTGTAACTAATTAGCTTAAACATTGATGCTAATCAATTCAGCAATTAATCAAGCTGGCTTATTGCAGAAAAGGTGCAACAAGTGCCCATTCGTTAGCGCTACCATATACTGTGTTCTATGCCTTATAGTGCTTGAGATCTTGGTGCCCAGCAAAAGGCTCTTAAGATATAGTGGACAGTTTCCTTGGAAATTCAGCAAAATCATTTATTTGATGATTACAAGCTTCAAAGAATGTGTAAGGGTACATAAAATCTGTGCATGCTTTGACCATCGTACGTGAAACCTAAAGGGTTCGCGCCGTCTTGCTGCCATGATAATGATGCCGGCCAGCTGACTTCCAGTAACATTTATTAATAATAAAAAACTTTTCAAAACTACCCAATACAACAGTGTGGGTACATGCACTGCCCCTAACCTTCACCTCGCCAGGGCACACCCTTCCCGCATGCGCACAGTGGTCCGCTGCCGATCGAGTGTCCAGGCCGCACCACGGCTGCTGCATTTAAAGCATTTGAGTGGCACCCACGCATTACTGGTGCACAGCACGGATCACACCAGCCGCTTGATGGCCGTGATTCCCACAATCCTCACCATTTAATCAGCAGAGAAAACTTAAGACTAAATAAACAAGTTATATTTTTGCATCCAAATCACATCATACCAAATATACAAAACAATGTGGGTTCAAACAATAAACAAAGCGAAAAAGTGGGTCGAGATCTAATAAATGTCCAAGAAGAAATGCACTGACTGCAATCATAGGAGCATACTGAATGACTAGACATAGTGTGGAAAATTTCCCCGAATGCGAATTTCAAGCGCAGCATCATGCTGGGGCATGGTCAACTGTGTTCAAAGTTCTGGTAGTCTGCAAGGTATTGACTATGCCAAAAATAATAATTTTCGTGAGGTAGGGCCGCACATACAATGACATTATTCCTCTTTCTGTGGAAGTACCAGCTACTCATCTGTAAGGCATATTGCCACGTTCCAGTAGGGTTGAGAGCTGGGCTAGTTGGTGAGACATCATTTAACCATATGGTGTAGTAGCGCAAATTCACGGGGACAAAGAGGACAAGCGAGTGTCGTGTTTTCTTCTCCTCTTCGTCCCCGTGAATTTGCGCTACTACACCATATGGTTAAATGATGCCACGTTCCATTTCCCAAGTTTTTGTTATCGTTCCAAAACACCACACGATTCTCAGCGCAAACCGCGCCTGCAGTTTTCGAGAAGGTTCCGGACAGTAGTAGGTCATTTCGATAAGATCACGCCCACTGTGCGAACGGTACAGATTGTTCTGGAACCTACGCCACCGCCACCGATAACGCTAGAACATTTGACGGCAAGAGTATAAATGCCGACGCGCTTCGCCGCTTGTCAGTAGTTGTTGATCGAAGGCCGACGCTCCGTTCGCCGCTATCAGTCCGAGACTACTATCTGTGCAAGACTGCTGCTGTAATTGGACTTTTCGTTTACCGGACATTGCTTCGCCCAAATAAACAGTCAAATCCCAACACGAAGTCTCCTGTCTTCGGCCACGTCATGACCCCGTGACATCTGGTGGAGGTGCTGTTTCTTCCATGTACCGGACGCCTCCGTCAAGCCGTGAACCCAGCCCACGCCGTGAAGACACCGACGCCAGCAACGAGCAGCGAGTTAGCCGCAGGCAACAAGGTCTGGCACCGGAGTACGGGCTTTTCCTGGACAAGGCTCGGAAAACCAAGACGTTGACGTCGACCACGGCAACCATGTCAACGCCGGTTCTACCTGCATCACTCCTGCTCCGGCAACCCAAAGAGCCGCCAATTTTCCGCGGTTCACCACTGGAAGACGCGGAAAGCTGGATCGAAAGGTTCAACCGCGTCGCCGCCTTCAATGACTGGACAGACGAAGACAAGCTACGGCATGTGTATTTCGCCTTGGAAGATGCTGCTCGGACCTGGTTCGAGAATTAAGAGCGAAGCCTCACAACGTGGGACGCCTTTCGCGCCAGGTTCCTCACCACTTTCGCAAGTGTGATGCGCAAGGAGAAGGCCGCAGCTCTCCTCGAAACCCGCATTCAGATGCCAAATGAAAACGTGGCGATATTCACGGCAGATATCCTTACAAGGAAAAGTATATTTACAGATATTTACAACGATTACACGCGATAACAATGCCTGGCGCACTGGCGGGCTAGAACCAGTCTCTATCCACTTCGTAGTCTTTTCTTTCAGCCAGGGACCCTCTACCGCTTTATGCCCCAATCCCACTACTGCCTTGTGGCACTACCCCGCAGCGTTAAAGCGCCGACCTGGCGCTTGTCACGAAAGGGGAGTGTTGGGTGACACATAAGGCTTCAGTCTTACGTCGTGCACAACAGTGGATGGTGGTGGCATTGAGTGCGCTTCGTCGACGACTCGCTGTATCTCGTAGGTGAGGTTGGTGATCTTGCGAAGGACTTTGTATGATCCGTCATAGCGAAATAATAGTTTTTCTGAGAGGCCGATGTGACGACATGGGGTCCACAAGAGTACGAGAGAACCTGGTGCATACGAAACTTCGCGGTGGTGACAACCGTATCGATCTTTCTGAGAGGCTTGAGAAAGCATGAGTCGTTCTCGGGCAATCCGTCGTGCTGCGTCGGCTCGCTCTATGGCATCGCGGACGTATGTGAGAGGGGAGCTTGAACCAGCGGGAAGGAGTGTATCAAGAGGCAGAGAGGGTTCCCGTCCATAAAGAAGGTAGAACG